GGCCCCATATGCGGGAGGTGGCGGGTTCAAATCCAGCCCTGGCCAAAAACTGCAAAAAAAAAAAAAAAAAAGAAAGAAAAAAGAATGAAAACCTGTCATCGGGGCAACATAGATGAGCTTGGAGGAGATAGTGACGTAAAGCTGGGCACAGAAGATAAATAGAGTCAGTTCCCCAGTTACTAACATCTGACTGACCTCCAACTCACACTTATGAATGGAGGCTGTTACAGGTAACAGCTAAATTTACCAATTCCAACTTACATGCAAATTCGACTTAAGAACAAACCTACGGAACCTGTCTCATTTATAGCCCAGGGCCTGCCTATACTGCATGTTCTCAGATGTGGAAACTTGAAGAGTTGGTCTCGTGGAAGTAAAGAGTAGAACAGTGGTAACTGGAGCAGGGGAAGGGAACAGGGCAGGTGGCACGGCCAGAGGCTGGGTAGCGGATGCAAACGCCCAGCAAGATGGGAGGAATGCATCCTAACATCCTACAGCACTGTAGGATGACCATCATTAACGACAATTTACTGTATATTTTCAAATAGGTAGAAGAGCAGATTTTGAATGTTCCCAACACAAAGAAGTGATAAATGTTTCAGGAGATGGATATGCTAATTACCCTGATTTGATCATTACACACTGTATACATGCATTACAATATCACACTGTACCCCACAAATATGTATTTATGATACAAAAATTACATAAAATGGTGCCTGGAAGTGTAATTATGGAATTTAATTTGGATCATAGATGTATAGCAGCTAAGGTGGTGCCAGGACCATCGAAACCCTCAGGAAAGGCCAACTTCTCAATTCCTTCTTCCCTGGTCCCACTCCCCCGCAAACCCAGGGCGGCTGTTAACAGTGCCTAGTCTGTGGTGTAGCGAGAAACTTCACCGTGGAGAATTCTGGACCTGGTGACCGAAAGCAGCACATCACAAAGACCTCTTGGTGTAGAAACATTCATAACCTGAATGTTTCCAGGTGATTTACTTGGAAACTTCCTTAGAAAAGGAATCAAACTGAAGTAAAACTTATTTTCTCCATTCCTAACATTTTCCAGCAAATAAAGAGATCCATTTAAGAGAATTTATAGGCAATGCCATATTCAGAAAAGAAAGTTAAGAAACTCCCTTGACTTCCCCAAGTGTCCCTCTTCACGAGGCTGCCTTGCTCTTAAACCTCAGAGGTGGGCAAATACCAACTAGGAGAATGGACACAGCCCCATCCATCCCTCGCCCATGGCAGACATGGAAAATTGATTTTAGCATCTCTTTTTAAAGGGAATCTTATTAAAGACTCAAAATCAGTCTTCTTATGATTCCTTAGTCACTGCTACTACTTGATCTGCCAAGGTCAAACCTATCCACCATCCCACCCCAAAAGGCTTTTAGGGCACCCTCAGTGTGGTAAAGCCCATCTCATTGCAAATCATTTAGAGATCTGAAGAGAGGATTCTTCTTCCTGCACTTTGCTTCTCAGAAGAAGCAGTTTCCAAGTCATCGGCAGATCCTTTATAACAGGGGCAGAATGGGGCATTGTGCGGCTGTGCAGGATTGGGGCGTGCAGAAAGCTCTTGGGGGGCAGGGTGGTGTGGAGGGCTTCCTAGGGCACCTGAAAAATAGCTGCTGTCACGTGGCCCTTAGAAAACAGAGATTTCTGCTGTTTGGACCCAAATGGTTTCAGACTTTTTATTACTTACATCATCAGCAAAAGCAAAGTCAGCATGGTTCTCGTTCCCTTGTGCCACAGGACAATACCAAACCAAAGGAGCCAGGCGAGTGGTGTCACGCCAGGTGGGGCACCAATCCTAGAGGGCAGTGAGTTCATTTTAGCTGTATCCTAAAGAGGAGTGAGGTGTGAAGTCCCAGGCATTACTGAAACCAGGGAGGCTAAAAGAAAGCGCTTTGGGGAAAGCGCTATAAGACAGAAAGGTGGACAAAGTGACCATGGACCGCTCCTTACAAACTGGCTGCTTTGCCGCGCTCCTGGGTGATTTCAGGGCATTCCACCAAGACTTGGGTCGGGCTGCAGTTGAGCCTTGTCCACGTGGCCACAGAGTGCAAGGCTGCCTGCATCTTTCCCTGTAGCTGCCCCCACCACTCTTCTGGGGAAGGAACTGGGAGCTGGGAAAGGTTTTTATCACCTGGATTGAAGGGTGCCTCACAGTCTAATTCTGGTTTGCATCCAAAGAAATTATCCTGAGACACAGTAAGTTGGGTCAAGGAAAATTTCTCAAATCAACTGGTTTCTAAATTGTTCCATTTTTATAGATGTTCCCAGTCCCTTGAAATTCAAAACAATTTGTTAGTCAGACATTTTTTCTTTAAAATTAAAAGAAGGGTTTCCACAGCAGGACTCTGACCTTTCCTTGCCAACCTTCAACTGTCCAGAGTGTGCACAGTCTGTGCCCCTTGTTCTGTGTGACGCCATCTTGAAAGCCTTTCTGAAAATAGACGAACATCATCTGAGCAGGCAAGTGGGTCTAACGTCACGATCAGGAAAATATGACAAAGGACACAGAAGGCAAAAGGCAAAGGAAAACGTCTAAATAACTTTCCAGCCTTCTAAGATCTGGGATTCTATGTCGCAGGGTGAAAAATAGAGCAAAAATATAGGCACAAAAATGTGTGCAGCTGAAAAGACGGTTCTCTGCTGTGAGACTGAAAAGATGGTGGCTGAGGGTAAAGCGGCTGGTGATTCACAGGTGAGAAGGGAGAGAAAAGCAGAGAGGGCAAGGTCATGCCGTCATGAAGATGGCACGGAAGCTGGAGTCCCGAGTCCAGCTTTCCTCCCTACCTGCTGGGTGACCCTGAGCAACTCCTTAACCTCTCAGTCTCACTGTCCTCATTGGAAAACAGAGAGTACTAATTGGGGATGTAATGAATTAGGAAAATCTGTTTGGCCCATGGCTGATGCCCACTATGGATGAAGAACGGTTTCAAGATACGCATTTGTTCACCAACATGAATTTTGTGTGTTCTCACCTCCATAGCGACTAGAGAGCTGCTAGTCCACTTCTTGGCACAGTGGGGCTTCATAACTGATGCCAAGTGTTAGTTTTACCATTGTCACCAGGATTTCCCTGGGCTCCTTCCACCTGCCAGCGCAAGCCAAGTCATAAGGACAATAACCACTCACTGGTATCATCCTCACTGGCACACCACGGGATCAAGCATTTCGGGGCTCTCTGAGGGCTACCCCAGATCTGCTCACAAACAAGCCTGTGGGTCCTGTCAGGACAGTCTTGGCTGCTGCCTGAGTGAGTGATTCCTCGCCGAGGCTGCCAAGGCTCCACCAATGTTTTGCCTGCAAAAGATCTTTGCTGGCTGTCCAGGATTAGAACATCTCCAGGATGAAAGGTTGATTGTTCCACTTCAGGAGAAGGCCCCCTCTCTGAAGGGAGACACAGGAGGCATGTGGGTGTTCCAGGCCTTGCATTTAGGTCACAGAGCTGGAAAGGTCCCCCGCAGTTTCCACCCTGCAGTTGTCTCCCAGTTCAAAGAGGGTGTTTTCTTAGGAGAAAATAAATAACACTGACACTTTGCCCTTTAGAAAACTCCATCTGCTCATTTATTTTGCTTGGTGCATATTTTAGACAGTCATTACCACAGCGGTTTTGCAACCTTTCGACTTGTCCCTGTTCCCTCTTTGGCTTTAAAATGCTGCACAACTCTCCTATTAAGGTTGGAAAGAAACTCCCTTTCACTATGATTTCAAGGAGAACTTGTAGATGTATTAAGGTAATTGAAAAAAATCAATATCATGGTATCGGGATACAGGTTTACGGATGTCTTGGGGAAGTCAGACCAACAACAATTAAATTGATCTTGGGTCTTGTTTTGCTGTTTGCCACATTTCTACGGCTTCCGCAGCCTCCCGGTTTCTGTGCCCTGGGCAGTCATGTAGAGGCTCTTTGTTGAGAACCCAGATTCCAGTTTGCCATTAACCTGAATACACCCTGCCCACCTCAACCAAGTGTGAGGCTGCAGGAGTCACAGAAAGGAGCCATTCAGCGGGAATTGTACTTTTTATAGCAGAGTCTCAGCTGCCAAGCTGAGTATAGTATTTGCTTACTTGGGCAGCTTATAGCCTAGAGGCCCCATTTGTATAAGAGGGATGGCAGGGATAAAGTTCAACTCAGTATTTTTCAATTAAAGGACATTTAGAAAAAGAAAAAAGTAAAGACTTTCTTTGAAATTGTGGTCTTTCATCTTCGTAGTTTTCCATGTGGATGGTTATTGAGAGAGGACATTTCTCTTCAGCTGAGCCTTTATACTGGAAGCAGAGCAGATCCCAGGAGCACCCCTGGCCTGACAGTCTGGACAGCTTGTCAACACTTAATGTGGTACAACAAGTAACATCTTGTCATCACTGAGGCCAAGAGGAGTGAAAGGGAGTCTTCG